TTCTTTCAAAACTTGTTTCTGAAACACAAACCACACAAGGCCTAAGTTTTTGCATTAGTACATGTCAGGTTCATCCCCTTCTAATTTAATTGATGGCATAATCTTCTAACGATAAAAACAGTTGAAAAAAAAATTGTGACAAAAAACTTTACATGAGATTTACCCTAAAACAACTTCACCAAATAGGACTTACAAGTTAAGTTTATTAAATTAAAATTGAATATATTATAGGGAAATTTCATGTCAGTGGAATTTTTAAATTTTAATTACATATTCATGAAAAATTTTATGATTTTACTTTTTAATATTTATAAAGTTTACAACTAATTTAAAATATATTTCTATCAAATGAAATTACCCTTATATTCATTTTATAATTACAATTCATACCATGTTAGATTTTAAATTTTATTTAAATTATGATAATACCTTTACTCCTAAGTTCTTAACGTGGAAAGCTCAAGTTCAATACATTTTCAATCTAAAAATTAAAAAAAAAAAATTAAAAAAAAAAAAGAAAAAGCAAAAGGAAATAGTTCAACAAAAAATTTCTATTTATATTTAGGTAAATTACACCTTTTTTTTTTCTTTTTAGATTTACAAAAACAAAATTATTTAATCTCATACTTTTACAATAATTATCGACCTCTTTCAAAATTTTAATTCACATAATATTTAAATTGTTTTTCACAAATTTTTCGTAAGTCATATAAATGAAAATATGATATTATCTTTTTTCAATTAAAATCTATATTTACTTTTATTTGTTTTATGTATGGCACCATCTACTTCTACATTAACATTGGCAGACCGAGGGGGACTAAGGGGGCTGTGGCCCTGCTAAGCTTCATAATCTCATACATTTTGTAATTTGTTTATTCTTTGGATTGTTTTAGGAAGTAACTTATAAATTGACTTTTTGGCTTATTATGAAAAAAAAATGCAAAAGTAAAGAAATAATCATTTTGCTTGGTTTCATTTTTTTAAAAATACTTTTTAGAAAATTCTACTTCTTATTTTCTGTGTTTTTTTTATTTTTACTGAATTTTTTTAATATTTTAAGCAATTTTTTTTTACTTTTTTAGCCATACCTAACATAAATATACCCAAAAGTAAAAAAAAATTGTGAAAAAAATCTTTTAAAAATTCACTAAATACCAAAAATATATAAAAAAAAATGCGAGAATTCAGTACATTGTTTTATATTTTTATGTATTCATTAATTTTTTAAAATATTTTTTCAAAATTTTTTTATTTTTTAGATACATCTAAGTGCATCTAAAAAAGTAAAAAAAATGTTTAAAATTTTAAAAATATTCACTAAAAACAAAAAAACATAAAAACCAAAAAACTTAATTTTAAAAAAACATAATCCAAAAAACTCAAACCAAACACACTGAATATGATCCAAATAAAACAATAAATAAACTGGCTTATAAGCCTGTTCTCAAAAGTGGCCCCTCAAGCCAAGGCCAATTGAAGTCTCCTAATCACTTTTCTTACTCACATACCCATGAAAGATGGGCTATCAAAAAATATTTTATGTTAAATTTTTTAAAAACTAATAAATTTTTTATTACAATTATGATGATGATCATGTAGTAAAAAATCATTTATCTCTTTTTATGTTATTATTACATTGATAATATATACTAGTCATATAACAATTACAATTAATTAAATTGATACAATAATAATAATGAAATGACATATGATTTTTGATACGCAAATATGATTATTATAAAATTAATTTTGAAATTTATTTCCAATACACTCTCATCATAATATTGATAACGTATGCGAGATGATTATTTACATATATTGTGTGAGCTTTTATAAAACACCAAGATGAAAATAATTCTTTTGTTATATACAATAGGCCAATTTACAAATGACAATTTTAGTTACAATTTTTTTTTATAAAAAAAAAAAATCAACTTATATCAAAAAGTCAAATATTTCTTACCATTTACATTATATTTTACACATTTTTTTAAAATCAAAAAATCATTATCAAATATATTGATTTTTTTCACCTTATATTTTAGTTAAAAAATAAGTAAAAAGTCACTTCTCAAACGGACCTAACGTAGAAAAGGCCTCTCTTTTGGGAAGTGGCTTATAAACCAACTTATTGACTTTTTGACTTATTATGGTTACATCACCTCTCTATTTTTGTATGTTTTTTTCGTAATAAGCACAAAAGCCAACTTATTTAGCACTTCCCCAAACAGCCAGTTCTCTTTTATTTTAAAATTTTATGATACTTTACAATTTTTATAGTTAGAATATCTTTTAATATAACTTATGTATGATGCATTCGTTATGAATGAAATAATTAAAATCTTATTAATTTCTTACACATAGTTTAGCCCCTGCATCTACCATTGTATATTAGTGTTAATCACTTTAACTATACCGAAAGGGACATTAATATCATTATGTCACATTTATATGTTTAACAATATTTTTTTCAAATTTGAGGAGAAATGAGTGTAATGTATCTATATATTTATGTGACAAGAGTACCTCAATTGCATCATGAAAACCATCACCATTATCACCACTACTACAATCACCACCACTCTGCTATAACTATTATCGCCACTACCACGCATATACCTCCGCTATCACCATTACCAGCACTAGGTCTACTAGAAGGTTGCTTGGTAAGATTTATAAAGTAGCTTATATGTTTATTTTTTTTACTTTATATTTTTAAATCTATCTTAGAGAGTTTGATATAATTTTTTTTTTTAGTTGATGAGATAAAAATAAGTTAAATAAGTTGAAAGAACTCATTATTGAAAGGATATGAGAGATGTGCTTTTACTTTTATTTTTTTAATTTTTAACTTATCATTATTATCAAAAAAAAAAAAAAAAATCGAAAACTCAAACTAAACAGAGTTATGTGAAAGTTAGGCGTGGATCCTCTCTCTTGTTCAAGTGTAAGGTTGGCATTTTCTTGGAAGATGCATCAAAATTTGTCTTCTTGGTACACGTCCATTGAGTTGCTCCATCACCAAAGTAGAACTGCACTCATACCATATAGACATTGTTTGGTTGATTCGAAAGGAATAGAATGATCCGTCCATACCGGAGTTGGAAAGATTAGAAAGGGATTGGATTGCGTGTCCATTTCATGAAGGAGTCTATTATTTGATTGTAAATTGGTAGGCTAGATTAGAAGCTCAACCGCACTCTATGTCCTTTATATGCGAGATTATTATGCTTTAGGAGAGGTGATATATAAATGGTTAGATAACAATTCCATAGGATTAACTTGTAAAAAGACACTTTTGCCCCCCAAGTACATATATCTTAATTTTTTTCAATTATTTATTTATTTTTATTTTATTATTATTTTTTCAAATGGTGGCATAAATATTTAATTTTTTTTGTTGCACTATCATATAGATAAATTGTTTGGTTTTATTATGTATTGTAAAATAAAATTTAAAAGTCTCAATTAAAAAATATAATAAATTTATTTAATTTTTATTGATGTTTTATTTATTTAATTTTTTTAAAAGGTCTAGCAAAAAAAATATTAAAGACAAATTTAATATTGCTATTATTCAATTAATAATTGAAAAGAATAAAATAGTCTTTTGATCATTTATTTTTCTTTGTAATATTTCAACCAAACAATAGATTCATTAAAATAGTCATTTCCAAATATCTAATCCCATGAAAATGAACATGAGATACACATATTTTCCAATCAAATAGTTCAGATACTATGTATCATAGGATTAACAGTTCAATGGATCATAATCCTCCCTTATCTAGTTCATTCAAATAAACATATGTTTATTCTTATGTTTGGTTGACTAAAAAAATAATGAAAATTATATTATAAATGAAATCATCATTTACCATTGAAATGGGTAAAATAGTCTTTTGAATATTTATTTTTTTTCATAATATTTCAACCAAATATTAGATTCATTAAAATAGTCATTTCTAAACATTTAATCCCATGAGAAAATGAACAAGTGACACATATTTTTTCTAACCAAATAGTTTAGGTACTATGTACTCTATGATTAACAATCTAATAGATCACAACCTCCCTTATCTAGTTTGTCCAAATAAACATATGTCTATTCTTAGGTTTCGTTGACTAAAAGAATAATGAAAATTATATTATAAATAAAATCATCATTTATCATTGTAAATGAATGTGCATTCTATAGGGGAGTTTAAGAAATGGCCATTCCATTTAATTTCATCACATTTGATCGACCAAAATACAACAATAGGGTAATAGTGTCTCTCTCTTATCTTCGGTTTTGTTTGGATTGAAAACACAAATTGTTCACAATAATGACAGTAAATTAAGGAAATTAATTAGGTGATCTTGAGTCATGTAGTGCCCTAATTTGATTTCATTAGTTAAACACTACAACAAAAAAGGTTTATGGTGACGAAAATGCATGACGAAAAAATATTTTGTTTTCAAATATATATGTTTTAGTAATGAAAATAAGATTTCGTCTCCAATTGTATTATTTTTAGAGACAAAAACTAAATTTCGTCACCAAATGCTTAAAATCAAATAAAATAATAGGTGACGAAAATTCTATTCGTCTCTAAATTTTATTTTTCGTCACAAAATAATTTCTCGCCCTTGAAAAATTTGATGGAAGATTAGGCAGCATTTTAGAGACGAAATTTTTTGCCACTATTGTAAAAAAATTTAGAGAAGGAATAATTTCATCTCCAAATATAATTTTTAGAGCGAAAAATCAAATTTCATGGCCCAATATTTAAAATCAATAAAAAATAAAATTGAACAAGAGGCTTTTTTGCCAAATCAAATTTCATGGCCCAATATTTAAAATCAATAAAAACCAAATTAAATAAAATCAATATTTAAACGAAATTTTTTGCCAAATGACTTTTTTAGCTTTTTTGGCAGCCACGTTTTTGGACAAGCCACGTTTTTGGAACGTGGCTTTTTACCATGTTCCCAAAATGGCACTATATCTCTGTGAGGATGCATCTCTTTTACTTTCTCTGTTACTCCCTCACCCATCCATCTCCTTCACACCGTCCATCCATCTTGGTCGCATCGGCTAACCCACGCGTCGTCGGCCGGCACTCGCTACAACAGTTATCTCTCTCTCTCTCTCTCTCCCTGTTTTCGCCTCACTCTCTCTCCCTCTGCTCTCTTCTCTTTTTTCCGAGCTCCCTCTCCCATCTTCTCGCTTTTCTGACCTCCATCTCCCATGTTCTCTATCTCGCTATCTCCTTTCTCGTCTCTCACTTTCATAATTCAATTTTCCCCAATTTGAACCCTAATTTGTTCGATGCTTCGCTGCCTGTGACCTCCCAACTTGGTTTTTCTCTAACCCTAATAAGTATCCTTCAAATAAAGATTTTTTTTGGTGTTTATTTTCCTGAATTTTTGAAGATCACAACTTCAATTTTTGTATTGTAGCTCAATCTTCAAATCTCCATATTGATTTTTTATTTTTTTTTAATTACAAGTCAATTGTTTTGCTATTGGGTCTGAAAATTGCTTTGATTTTTCTTTGAATTTTTGGCCTTGGAATCCAATGAAACAGATCTAAAATCCCAACTGAGAGAGCTACTTAAGATCATTGTGAATTATTTTTGATGTTATTTGAATTAGTGTTTGTGGGTATTTGACTGCTTACTGGATATGTTCATAAGAAGTTCAATCAGCAATATAAAGCTACAATTGGGGCTGATTTTGTCACCAAAGAACTACAATTTGATGACAGGCTTGTCACTCTACAAGTGGGTTCTCAGTTCCATTTCAATTTTATTGTTCTGTGCCTGCTTTTATTTAGAGCATGTTTGATCAATATCTCTCTAGTTGCTATGTGATTGTGTGCTTTGCTTTGGTAGATATAGGACACAGCTAGGCAGGAGAGGCTTCAAAGTCTCAGCGTTGCCTTTTATAGAGTGACAGATTGTTGTATTCTTGTATACGATGTTAATGCCCTGAAATCATTTGATACTCTTAACAATTGGCATGAAGAATTTCTCAAACAGGTTAGTTATTCATCTTTATCTCATTGCTGCCAATGTTGAACAATTTGTCATATATCTTTTATTTTTTGGTCTATTTGTCTCAGTGAGCGTGTGTAAGTGTAAATGCATCAATAAACAACTGCTGAGGCCCATTGTTTAAATTGCACATTATGCATAACTTACAAGATAGTTAATCAATCATTTCAGAATCTTGAAATATATGGAGCTGTTTTAGGCTATCATTTTCTTTTTGTATCGAAGGATTCAATTAGAGGTACTTTGCTCTCAAATACTTGGTTCATTGATTCTTTTTGTCTATAGAATTTTTCACAACTATTAATTTTGAACAAATACGAGGGAGTGTAGTTGTTTCAAGTTTTATGAGGATCACATAACCATAAAATTGTCGATAACATTTTGGTCGTTTTGCTGTAGTGGCTATTTTCTATATATAGGTTGATTCTTCCTACTTCATATATATTTTACAATGTTGTGGCTGTGGTTGTTATACATGTTAATTTTTTGCTTCATCAAGACTTTTGGGTCCATAGATAACTTGACTTCTTATCAACTCTTTTTATAGTAAGGGCTAATTGAGCTATCATTGTTGTGCACCCCCTAAAGGAGACCTTTTCCAAGCCCCCCATGCCTAGCAGTTAAGCAATATGTGTCATCCTATCAAGCAATCCCATTCAAAGGGACCATTTAAGATTGAAAACTAAAAGAAGAAACAAATTCAATCACCAAAAGAAAAAACCTTAGACCGTGTTTGGACTTGCAAGGCAATGGCAGTACCTTTTAAGGCCTTAAATTCCAAAATGTTCCTTTTGATTGCGAAGCAATGGTACTGCACACAAGGTGTTAAAAAAAAAAAAAAAAAAAGAGCCCGAATCCGGACAAGATTTTAGGATTGTCAAACCTCACCTCAAACAATGTGTGAACTCCATTCTATATATGAATCTTCCTCCAATAAACTCTAGAAATTGAATTACTATCATCAAAATGGTTAATCACAATACAGTAACACATCTACATTTTGTCATAGTTCTTTGAAGAGAAGATTTGTTACCTGCAATGGTAAGGGATAAAAATAGAATTTGACAAGAACAATGAAATAATTAATGGAAAAGAAATACAAAAGCATAAATAAATAGTAGTTGCAGGGCATTACCAAGAACACCACCACCACACTTGAAATCAATAGTGATGTAAGTTAGATTCAGAATTTGAAGATTTTAGACATTGCCTAGGAACATGTCATAACTTTTTCCATTATAAATGAAGCAAAAATGCTAGAGGCCAAGAAACCAACTTTGGAAAAATACAAAGAAAAAATTGTATGGCTTATTTTTAACATTTGTATTGTAAGTCCACACTTGAAATAAATTTTTCCTTGTATTTTTTTTTTTTGTTGGTAATTAGTTTCTTGATTTCTAACATTGTTATGAATGGAGTGGATCCAACTATAAAGAATGTGTTGGTAGGAATTGAACATCCGACAAATGAATTTTTTTTTTTTTTTTTTTTGATGAGTTCTTAGCTTGGTCACTTCAAATGTTTCAAAGGATTCTGCATGTAAGGCAAAAGAAGCTAGTTTACATCATCATTGATTGAACCACCAATGAATTTTCATATGACCTTACTCTGATGTTGATTTGTAAGAGCAATCCTTCACAACTTTTTTCTTTGAATTCAAATTTGTAGTTAAAAAAATAAATTAAAAAAATATATCGTTTCTTGAAACTTATGGTAAATTAAAAAATAATTTTTTTATGAAATTAAGAATGAATCAAATCATTAAATTTTAAGAATTATATTTGTTCAAATTTAGTAAAATTTTAAAAACCATAAAGATTGGATGTGATTGAGACTTGTATAACTATTTTATAAATTGGTGTTTCCCATTTTGTTGTATGGATTTTCCATTCAAACTTGGAAGAAACAGAAAATTTCAAGTTGGTGGTACAGTGATGCAGGGCATTTTCATATAATTGGATCAATTGTCATAATCATCAAACCCAGAAAAAAAAGTCTTACTTCTCAGGTGATATTGATCTAAGAGATACTTCTCAAGTGATATTGAAGCCAGTGAGTGTTTATTCAAAAATTTAAACTTCCAAATCATTGTTTTCTTATAAAGATTATTTGCTTGTCTTTCACTGTAAGGCTGAAGATGGGTCACACATGTGAACTTCCAAATCACTGTTTGCATTCTTGCAGAAATAGGGTCAGCTATGGCCTAGAAACATCTTAATAGTTTTCTAACGTGGATGCTTACACATATACCTTCCTACATAAGTATGATGTCTTTGACATTAACAGTTTTTTAATGATTATTGTGGAATAATATATTCCCAAAAATTCTATTGGTTTTTGTAAAAAAGAAAAAAGTAAAGTTGCTTATGATCTTTATCATGTTGGATAGGATGAGTTTTGAAAGGTTCCATAATTGTGGGGTTGTCCATTGTCTAGGGCTTAGAATTAGGAAAAAGTTGCAGAGATTATTTAGATGTAATCATTTTTTCTTTCATAATTGCTCTTCTATTTTTACATTTCTGTCCTGTCTGCTTTCTTTTAGTAGACACTGTCTTCAGTCAAATAATTTGTGCTCTTTGCTTAAATCGTAAGTTCTTTAACGGATGCTCCCATTCCCCTTCCTTCTCCTTTACCTATTCTAGTTTTAAAGAAATTTTGTGTAGACTGGATTTGCCAAGTATAATGTTCCTCTCTAATGGAAAATGAAGATCAAATATGTCCCATGTAGCTCAGAACAGAGTTGGCCTTTGGGCTTGGCTATTCCAAATCTAATTCTTGTACCAATATCAAATTTTAACACTGCTAATTGCACCATTGTGCTGCAGAATATTAGTAACTTTAGCATGGGGTACTCAGAATTTTTTCTTATAATTTGTTTCCTATTAATATAAAATAACTCCTATGGCTGGTCATATAGCTTTCCAAATACCATGAATTAGTTACCACTGACCAGAAAGTGAGCTTTTAACTAATTGAACATCCATGTGGATCTACTCTAAGAAGGCTCGGTTTGAAAACCAAGTCGAAAAATACACTTTTCTTACACTTAAGTTTGAAAATAGGCCATCAGGGGCCAAAATCGTTTAACATCCACTAAATGGCTCGGGAAACACCTCAAACACCTCAGGAGGGACCAATGTAAGTTGTGGAAATTTACGGAACTAGCACGGGACTCTCGGTTTGAAAACTAAGTCGAAAAATACACTTTTCTCACACTTACGCTTGAAAATAGGCTATCGGGGGCCAAAATCGTGTAACAGCCACAAGACGGCCTAGGAAAAATCTCAAAAACCTCAGGAGGGACCAATGTAAGTTGTGGAAACTTACGGAACTAGAACGGGACTCTCGATTTTAAAACTAAGTCGAAAAATGCACTTTTCTCACACTTAAGTTTGAAAATAGGCCATCGGGGGCCAAAATTGTGTAACAGCCATGAGACGGCTTGGGGAACACGTCGAACACTTCGGGAGGGACTAATGTAAGATGTAGAAACTTATGGAACTAGCACGGGACTCCCGGTTTGAAAACTAAGTCCAAAAATGCACTTTTTCACACTTAAGCTTGAAAATAGACCATCGGAGGCCAAAATCATGCAACAGCCACGAGACAGCCCGGGAAACACCTCAAACACCTCGGGAGGGACCAATGTAAGTCGTGAAAACTTACAGAACTAGCATGAGACTCCTGGTTTGAAAACCAAGTCCAAAAATGTAATTTTTCACACGTAAGCCTCAAAATAGGCCATCAGAGGCCAAAATCACGTAACAGCCACGAGATGACCAAGGAAACACCTCAAACACCTCGGGAGGGACCAATGTAAGTTGTGAAAACTTACGAAACTAGCACGGGACTCCCGGTTTGAAAACAAAGTCCAAAAATGCACTTTTTCACATGTAAGCTTGAAAATAGGCCATCGGAGGCCAAAATCGTGTAACAGCCACGACATGGCCTGGGAAACACCTCAAACACCTCAGGACGGACCAGTGTAAGTTGTGAAAATTTACAGAACTAGTACGGGACTCTCGGTTTGCAAACTATGTCCAAAAATGCACTTCTTCACACTTAAGCTTGAAAATAGGCCATCGGAGACCAAAATCATGTAATAGCCACGAGACGGCCCGGGGAACACCTCAAACACCTTGGGAGGGACCAATGTAAGTTGTGGAAACTTACGGAACTAGCACGGGACTCCCGGTTTGAAAACAAAGTCCAAAAATGCATTTTTTTACACGTAAGCTTGAAAATAGACCATCGGAGGCCAAAATCGTGTAACAGCCACGACACGGCTTGGGGAACACCTCAAACACCTCGGGAGGGACCAATGTGAGTTGTGGAAACTTACGGAACTAGCACGGGACTCCTGATTTGAAAACTAAGTCCAAAAATGCACTTTTTCGCACTTAAGCTTGAAAATAAGCCACCGGGGACCAAAATCGTGCAACAGCCACGAGACGGCCCGGGGACCACCTCAAACACGTCGGGAGGGACCAATGTGAGTTGTGGAAACTTACAAAACTAGCACGGGACTCCCGGTTTGAAAACTAAGTCCAAAAATGCACTTTTTCACACTTAAGCTTGAAAGTAGACCTTCGGGAGGCCAAAATCGTGCAACAGCCACGAGACGGCCCGGGGGAACATCTTAAACACATCGGGAGGGATGTGAGTTTTGAAAACTTACGGAACTAGCACAGGACTCCTGATTGGAAAACTAATTCAAAAAATGCATGTTAAATTGTATATTTTATGAATAAGATAATAATTGTCTAACTTGCATTTTTTTTTTTTGGTTGTGTTTCATTTTTTTGCAGATTCGAGATTTGATATGGACATGTTTGGTAATTTGGACGGTAGATGGTAGCTCATTTTGTGTTTTTGTTCATATTACCTTACATGTATTTTGGTTGGTTGTAAATTTTCTATTTTTGTTGGTATCACAGGGCATGTTGGGTAATTCGCCCTTGATATTTTATTTTTGTTGATATTAGTAGACATGCTTTTTGTTGGATATTAGGAGATGTGTTTGGTAATCTGCATGCGGTTGATATTATATTTTTGTGGATATTAGTAGACGCTTTTTGTGGATATTCAGAGACATGTTTATAATCCGCATGCAGTTCATATTGTAATTTTGCGGATAGTGTTGAAATTCGATTGTGATGTTATGAAAATGAACAGATTTTTGTATTGATTTGTAACAGATATTTTATTGAACAGGTTATTGAAATGCACAGGGAATTGTTACTGAAAACAAAAAATTTCGGAAGAAAATAGTATCTACATTTTCAAAATTTTTAATTTTTATTAGTGACGAAATAAAAAATGTCGCTATTAGTTTGCAAAAAACATGACGAATAATTTTGTCACTAATGATACAATACCAAACAAATAATTTCGTCACATTTGCTTAATATTTCATCGTTAAATTGAAATATTTGGTGACAAAATGTTTTTTGTCATTGAAGAATTTTCTTTTTTGCTCATTTTAGTGACGAATTTTTTTGTCACTTTAATCCATATCGTTGGTGAGAAAAACTTTCGTCACTATAATCTATTTGGTGACGAAATATTTCGTCGCGAAAAACAATTAAAATTAAATATTATTTAGTTTTGGCGACAAAATTGACGTTATAGAGGACAAAAAATTTAACATTTGGAGACGAAACATTTCATCGTCAAAAATCAAAAATAGGCGACGAATCTGTTTTTCGTTGCCAGGTACTTTCAGCGACGACGTATAGGCCATGAACGTGGTGACATTTTTTTCGTCACAGATTACTTTAGTGACGAAAATTTGATGTTTGGAGACAAAGTCAGTCTATCACCAAAGGCTTTTTTTGTTATAGTGAAAATAGTGGGGCTGAATGTTATTTTTTTATTTTTTATTTTTTGAATTTTGTAGAAGACAATTTGACAAGTGCCAAGTAATAAAACAGTATAAAGTAATACTCCAAAATTGCCAAATAACCACTCATAAATTAATCACTTTATAATCTTTATGGCAAAATGAGGACGTCAATGTTGAATTTTAAAATACTACAATACTAAAATGTTATAATTTGAGAAGCATTTTTCAATAGTTTAAACATCTTTTTTTGGGGTAAAAACTGTAAATAAGTGAGACAATCTTAAAATTGTTGCACTACAAGTGGAATAATTTTTTTGGTGCAAGTCTGATATATAAGAAATACTCGCACCAAACATAGGAAGAAACTTGTACCATAGACACAGAAGACTTGCACCATCATAAAAATGAAATTATTTATCTATTGCTCCATTGAAATGCATTTTTTTTTTCTTTTTCATAATGCCTAATAAAAATATTCTTTATGAATCTTACAAGAGATGCAAAGAGAAGAAGTTTTATTATAATTTGGCAAAAGGAATATTGCACATTTGAAAATGGTTTTGGAGTTTATTTGGTTTGATTTTCTAAAAATTGTTATCAGATTTCTTATTTTTCATATTTTTTTATTTTATTTTGTTTGTGATAAATTTTTATTTATTTACATTTTAGTCAATTTTTTTAAGAGTACTCAAGCCATAAGTCCACATTTAAAACTTGTAGGCAATAGTCCAAAGTTCTATTCTTTTGGAGCCAAAAGACAAAACAATTTGAAACGACCATATTACTTCTACCTATATGTTTATTGGTGTATTGTTCACCTATCTGTCCACATTACCTATTTATTTACCTATCTGTCTAAGTATCATCTATCTATCTACTTATTTGTGCACATGTCATTGCTTTATTTGTCCACGTATCACCTATTTATCCACCTAATATATCTATCTATCCATATGACCACTACCACCACCGCCAGTCACTATTTCATTTTTGCCCAAAATTTGAAATTATATACCTTGTTATTGCAATTGACTCTTAATTTTGCAATATTTACAGCATAGTAAGAAATTTCACTATTTGAAAGCAATGGACAATGAAATTTCATCATGTGAAGACATTGGATAGTGAATTTTCATAATGGATAGACAATGATATTTCATAGTTTTGATAACACTGAACGCAGTGTTAAATTTTGTTATTTTTTACAAGAATTTCATATTTATTATTGGTCTTATATGATACATATTGATGAGAAAATTTGGAAAAACTTAAATGTTATAAAAAAACAATGATTTAGATAAGAAATTATCAAATTTTAAAGGTTTTAAATAATTCAAAAAGAATAGGACACTCGGTCCATAAATCCAATTTTGAATTTTATTTGTTCAAAAGTCCACACTTTAAAATACTTTATTCATAAGGACAAGCTCCCGCAAAATGATCAAACTACCCAATATATATATATATATATATATGTGTGTGTTATTTTGAGGCTAATTACATATCATAAAATCAAATTGTTGCTGGAAGCTTAGAGAGAGAATGAGAGACTTCCTCTCTCCTACTCTCTCTCTCTTTTAGGCCAAATTTTAATTGAAAAAAAAATAATTGAAAAAATATATATTTGAAAAAAAAATTAATTAAAAAAATAATTGAAAAAAAAATTATTTGAACAAAAAATAATATTTGAAAAAAAATATATTTCAAATAATTTATTTTCAAATAATAATTTTTTTTCAAATAATGTAATTGGAAAAAAATATATTTCAAATAATTGTTCAATTATTTGAAATATATTTTTTTCCAAATATTATTATTTTTTTCAATTAAATTGTTTTCCAATTAAATTTTTTTCAATTATTTTTGCAAACATAAACTAAAAACGTAAACGTTATCAAACGTTACTTTACTGTTTAGGGATAAAATTTATTTTTTTTTTATTTTAAGATTTAGGATTTAATTCTTAAAATTTATTTATGTTTATTTTGATGTGAGTTGTGTGTGAGTGTGAGTTGTGTGTGAGTGATGTGTCAGAGAGAGGGAGAGAGTGTGTGGCGTGGCTGTGAGTGAGTGCGTGGGTTGTGAGTGTTGAAAGCGTGATTTCTAACCACGTTTTTTTTACAACACAGTTTTGTTTAAAAGCGTGGTTAGAAATCACGTTTTTTTTTTTAAAAAGATTTTTTTAAAAGCGTGATTAGAAATCACGTTTTTTGAATTTTTTTTTATTTAAAAGCGTGATTAGGAATAACGTTTTCTTAATTAAAAGTATGGTTTGTAACCACACTTTTACGATTTCGCCATTTTCACGGGATAAACGTTGAAAGCATGGTTGTGAATCACGTTTTAGCCTATTTTGAGAATTCTTTTAAAACTAAGCTTAGTTTGGGAATTGAATTGATAATTTAGCTTATTTAGGGAAATGGCCTCTCTCTCTCTCTTGAGTTGAGTCCTGAAAGAGAAAGAGAAAGAGAAGTAGTCTTCAGGTCAAGGGCAGCTTTACTAATGTGTCTCCCACTCCCACTCTCTCTTTCTCTTTGGTAGTTGCATCAACCAGACATAAATGAGAAATGGCAGTGAATTAGCAATTGCAACACTCTTCCGCTATGTTTGGATTGAGTGGTGGGTTGGGAAGTTGGCAAAAAATTAATTTTTTGATTTTTTTAATTTATTTTTTTTAAAGTAAAAAATATGAGAGGTAATGTGACTTAAAAGGAGCAAAAAGCTAAAAACTGACTTTTTATTGGCTTTTCCGAAAGACCTTGAGTGATTTGGAGAGAAAAGAAATAAAATGGAGTGATATGTATTTCTCTTACTTGTTTAGATAACTTAAGTAGAGAGAAATAGGAAAAAATGAAGAGAAACTCATTTCTCTTATGTCCCGTTTGTTTTCAGAGGTAGAATGAAAGAGATTGATAGTGAGGGGATTGTTAGTGAGGGAATTAAGTAAAATTGTGTTTGTTTTGATGATAATTGTTAATATAAGAATTGTTAAATTATTTTTATATAAAATAAATATAAAATAATAAAACAAATATAAAAATACAAAAACATTAAACATTAATATTTTTTAAAAAATGCCCAAGATGTAAAAAATTAAAAAAAAATAAAAATAAAATAAAAAATTTATAGAAAAAAATAAAACAAATAAAATAATGATTTTTACTTAACAAAAAATACAAAAAAATAAACATTAATGTTCAAAAAAAATGCCCGACAAGTAAAAAATAAAATAAAAAAAAATAATTCTTGTCCGCTGAACTATTTTTGTAATACCAAGTTCTGGAGACCCATCTGAATCCCCTTGGGGAGGCCCATCCTAATCCGGAGCTCCCTATCAATCTCCTCTCCATCTCTCAAAACAAACACAATATTAGTGGGTCCAACCTCACTATCAATCTCAATCCCCTCTCTAACTTTCTAAACAAACGGGGCATTATAACTCTTATTTTCAATCTTCCCAAAAGTGAATAGATTGGGAGAGGAAAGAAACCAATATTTTCATAATATCAATTTTGTCCCTATAAAAATAAAAAAAATAAAATGATTGAAAATATAAAAAGGTTATTTTGCACTATCTTTTTGTGTGTCCTTTAGCCTCTAAATTGTTATTATTAGGGACCTTAAAAAAAAATCCCCTTAAATCTAACCAAACAAGAATGAGAGAAATCATAATCATTTCTTTTCTTTTATTCCTTATTTATCCAAATAAGAAGGAGAGAAATCACAATCATTTCATTTCATTTCTTTTCTCTTATAACTTAAGTAATCTTTTCTTTTCTTTTCTTTTCTTTCTTAGGTTCCCAGACATAGTATTCATGGTTTCGAGAGGGATTTAAAAAGGAAAGGACACTGGATATGAAATGAGATAAAATATAATTATATTTTGTTTATATTTTATATTTTTGTTTTAAATTTATAAATCAAATGCATTATTAATATATATATATATATATATATGCATTTATCGTTAGTTTGGGAAGATTTAATTTAACTTCATTTTTTGGCTTTTAGTTAATTTAATTTAGCTAAATTAGTTTTGTTTGAAAAAAAAAATTAACTTTTTTATTTAGATGTGATAGTTGTTAAAAAAAATAAAAAATGAATGATTATAATTTGAATATGACATTTTATTTTATTGATTAAAATAACCTCTTTTTTTTTATTATTTTTTTATTTTTTTATACTGATTTAGACATTTTAACTCTTCCCAGACAATACCTTAATTTATTCTTATATTACCTAAAGGAGCACAATTCCCTTCCATTCATAATTTTTATTACAATTTTTTTTTGATAATTTAAATCTTACATTTTGTGGACGTTTTATCTATTTCATTCACATGCAAAAT